AAAAAATCATGCAAATAACAAATGCATCTGTTTTAACTGATTAAAATCAAGTAAAAATAAGTAAGTTGTTATTTCCTTATGTTTGGCGGCCATCTTGGACGCCATCTTGGATTTCTCTGTTCGCCACCATTTATGCCAATTTATGCCAGGATTTTTTGGAAACTTCGAATATATTGGAACATTTTGGTATATGACACCCCTTGTTAAAAAATGGGTCCGGGTTAAAGTTTCTGAATGGCTTAATTGTCACCCTACCAATTTGCCTGGCAGCTCGGGTTATATTTCCAATATTTCCTAATTAAAAAAAATAAGACAGCTTTTAGTTTTTGAACATTTCCCAATAGAACAAAATTTCAAATAATTTCCCCAAATTTAAACCAGGGGTCTTTTCCAAAAAAGCTTGAAAGGGCCTTGCATGACATGAAAAGGGCTAGTGTGCCTATAAATTTAATGCGGCAGCTATCTTGGATTTAAAAATGGCTGGCAATTTCGTTTGTTTCTATATACTGAATAATATGTAAAGAAGGCTTTTTACAAGGCTTGTTTTATTTTATTATAATAAATATAAGTGCAGTGATACGAATTAACACTTACCAGGGCAAACTTAGGGAAACATCTTTTACAACTACAAACTTTATGATGCAAAAAAGTCACAATTTATACCAAAAGAAATAAGAAACATTTTTGCGTTTGTTATTTAGATGTTATTTTGATATTTCCAAGCATACAAAAATGATCTTTCAAACTATTGAAATTCTTTTTCTATTAGTTTTTATCGCCTTGAAGGGAAGCCTAAACAAATGTATGTCCGCCTGTCTATCCGTCCAAGCGTATTCATGTACCATGTATATTTGACGGTTTCCAAACTGGCGTTGAGATGAATTCCGTATACGCCAGTCCTTTAGAAAAAATCTTTGGCTTTTGGTGGTATAAAGGCTGCTTTTGTAGTTTGAAAGAAAAATGAAGATCACAAACATCCGTACAAGTAACCTGAGTAAGAACATGACTGACTGTCTGTGTTTAGTCCAGTCCATCACTGTCATTCTTGGATGGATTTTTAAATAAATTGCAGGAATGTGTAGCACATTGAGACAATATCACAAACTAGTCCAAGGTTTTAACTTCAACGCTCAAAGTTAGACTTAAAATTGCTTGAAAAACTTTGTCCAGTTTAGGATTCCGTCATACATAGTTGGATTTTAAAATAATTTAGCATAAACACGCGGCTTCATAACCTCAGATCCCCTTTCAAAATTCCATTTTATTTAGTTCCGCCCATTGTTTTCTCGTTTAGGGCACACGCATTTTTTTACTCGGGGACCATATGCCGCTTTTCATGGAATGGCACTAACGTGTCACATTGAAGGTTCCATGATAACCGCCATATGAACACATCAGCGGATGTTTCAAAATTCTAAATTTTACCAGTTCATGTTAAATGTTGAATTCTGCTTAAGCCGGTGCTAGGGGGCGTGGACGGTAACTTGCACTTGACAGTACCGTCCATGAACAGGCTCAATCAAACCGAGCCTGCAACATTTTCAATTTTGCCGTGTTGGGCTTTCTGTAGGGATTCTGTATTTATCTATTTTAAAACAAAATATGAATGGATGCACTTTGTAGAATAAATTATCCTTTAAACAGGGAAGAATGTTTGATTTCAAACAGAAATGATATGTTTATGTTAATTGCGCAAGAACATGTACTAAGACATGTTTAAATGTTGAATTCTGCTTAAGCCGGTGCTAGGGGGCGTGGACGGTAACTTGCACTTTCCAATACCGTCCATGAACAGGCTCAATCAAACCGAGCCTGCAACATTTTCAATTTTGCCGTGTTGGGCTTTCTTTAGGGATTCTGTATTTATCTATGTTATACATCAGAGTCAATGACAATGACAATGACAAAGATTTTTAACCAATAAAAATCTGGAAACAAAGTGATCACCTCGGATGCATTAATCACAACAAAATAACAAGAGAATTGCAGACTTGCTTTGATTGAGTCTGAACATGAGGGATAATGAATACGTGCAACATCCCTCACGCCCCCCTCTAGCACCGGTTTGAGCGGTACTCAATTCTCAACACTTAATAGTGCTGGCATCAATGATCTCGAAGGACCAGAAAAATAAAACAACACTGAAGTGAAGAACGGGGCAACTTTTTACAGCTGCCTCTGTTATTCAGTTTATTTGGCATAGGGCATGTTGCCTGCTTTTTAAATTTGTCTTTTGACGTCTTATCTGTGATACGCAGGCTTCATAACCTCTGATCCCCTTTCAAAATTCCATTTTATTTAGTTCCGCCCATTGTTTTCTCGTTTAGGGCACACGCTTTTTATTACTTGGGGACCATACGCCGCTTTTTATGGAATGGCACGGAAGTGTCACATTGAAGGTTCCATGATAACCGCCGTATGAACACATCTGCGGATGTTTCTAAATTCAAAATTTTACTATTTCATGTTTAAATGTTGAATTCTGCTTAAGCCGGTGCTAGGGGGTGTGGACGGTAACTTGCACTTTCCAGTACCGTCCATGAACAGGCTCAATCAAACCGAGCCTGCAACATTTTCAATTTTGCCGTGTTGGGCTTTCTTTAGGGATTCTGTATTTATCTATTTTATGATCACATCCGTGTTATTTGTGCCGTGTGGCGGCTGTAAAAAGTCTCCCCGTACATTTAATCAATGATGTTATAATTTCGATCCTTGAAGATCGTTCAGCACGACATTGTTGTTGTGCTTGTGGTATTTTTAGTTTCAACTTTTCGGCATTTTCTAGTTGGGTGGTTCCAATATTCCTACTTGAATAATGTTGAATCACCCTTAGGATATGTTGCCTGCTTTTTAAATTTGTCTTTTGACGTCTTATCTGTGATACGCAGGCTTCATAACCTCTGATCCCCTTTCAAAATTCCATTTTATTTAGTTCCGCCCATTGTTTTCTCGTTTAGGGCACACGCTTTTTATTACTTGGGGACCATACGCCGCTTTTTATGGAATGGCACGGAAGTGTCACATTGAAGGTTCCATGATAACCGCCGTATGAACACATCTGCGGATGTTTCTAAATTCAAAATTTTACTATTTCATGTTTAAATGTTGAATTCTGCTTAAGCCGGTGCTAGGGGGCGTGGACGGTAACTTGCACTTTCCAGTACCGTCCATGAACAGGCTCAATCAAACCGAGCCTGCAACATTTTCAATTTTGCCGTGTTGGGCTTTCTTTAGGGATTCTGTATTTATCTATTGTAGTGTATAGGCACAAATGTTCAAATCTTTTTAATTTTATATGTCGCCTTCCTGGAACGACAATTACTTTGCGTTAATGTGTAATATGAAAAGGTAATGACATGAATACTCGCGGTTGACCTATGCAATATTTTAATCTGTATAATTCATTTACCGTAAGACATTACAAGTCCGTAGGCTATTTGTGGTTCAACAATAAAACCGCTGTTTACGAGTCATTTTTTCCAAAAAAAAAGATAATAAAGCTTAAAATGACATTTACATTTATTTAAGTTTACTTATATTTCAATTATGATAGATGATCTCATTTTTTAAAGATATATAAATCTAGACATGTCCAGCGTTATTCACTGAAATCAAGCTGATTAATAAATACGACACTTTATAAAGTAGCTTTACCAAATTGAATACAACAATAATAATACATATAAAAAGTAATCAAAAACCGAAATAATGTTTTACATTTTAATGTTTAAATGTTGAATTCTGCTAACGCCTGTGTCATGAGCCTGCAACATTTTCAATTTTGCCGTTTTGGGCATTCTTCAGGGTTTTTTTTCTATTTTGAACCGTGTTGTTGCAATTACATGCGGGCACAGAGACATAGTGTCTAGCCTGTGAAGATGAAAGGCAATTTTTTAAAGTATTGGCAAACTGAACTTGACTTTTGACATTCAAATTATAAAATGACTTAGTGTCCTTAGATTAATTGTCCATAAAGAATGACCTGAAATAGTTTGAGGTCATGGTGAAATTAAGTATACCTACACATTGTGTACAATTCTACATGACATGTTGCTTATATCATCATTATCATATTTTTGATAAAGATCCCTTTGTTTAAAAGCACTCCACTTATATTTGTTTAGAAAAGGGTGTCCATTTTGAAATCAAAGATGGTCACCATTGTAGTCAATAAGTAAATCATGTTTAATTATCAGCCAATCATTCATAAAATACTCGGAAACTTTATTTCATGTGGTTTAACGAGAAAAACTTACGTAATAAGAAATTATAAAGTACATACTAAAGGTCAATGGCGGCCATTTTTATTTGTCCATTAGAAGGCCAAGGACTTCGAATACAGCCGTAGTAGGGCAAAATGGATTGAGGGATTCAGCGTTCCTTAATTAAAAAAAGGGATTGACTACCTGCTTGTACTAAAAGAAAATGCCATAAGACTCTAAACCCGTCTACCTGAAGTTTTTATCCTCCACTAAAGTTAAAAAGTTACGTTATGACCTTTAGAGTGTTGGTGAGACTAACAAACATAATCTTTAAACAATTATTAGTTGACCTGAATGACTCAACATAATGGACTTCATATTTCAAGTTTTGACCGAACTTATATTAAAAAGAAAACAAAAACATATGGAGTTGCAGTTTTCTGATAGTTGTAGATTCTGTAATAAAATATTAAATCAAAGTAGATTTAAGATTAACAAAGTATGACATTGCTCACAAAACACATCCCCCGAATAATAAGTGGCAATCTATCTTTTTATTGTTTTAATAAATTCCCATATACATGTACATATTTTGAGTTGTTATACTCCAGCCCAAAACATTGAAACTAAAAGAGATGTAAGTATTTGAGTTTCTATTAATAAATAAGCAACAATTGTTATCAATTTCAGCACAGACACTTACGATTATGCTGTTTTATGTGTGTCTTGTTTGTAGATATGGCGTATAAAATGTTAATCATTGAATAGATCAAATGATATAAAATAATATAACTCATCCATGTTTTATGTTTTATTAATTTTTATAAAAAAGCAGATAATAAGCAGTATAACAAGAAGTCAGCAGCAGAGAAATAGGTATGATAATATTATATACAGGATAATTGCTTTAAATTTCCGATTAGATGATAATATTATATACACTTAATAATGTTATCAATTGCAAGTTTCATTTTTTATATTTGTCTTTTTACGTCCTCTCTGTAGTCTTTATGATCACGTTTCAAAATTCCATTTGTTTAGTTCCGCCATTGTTTTCCAGTTTAGAATACACATTTTCTTTTACTCAGGGAACATATGTCATTTTTCATGGAGAAGCTTCAAGTACCAAAGTGTCACATTAAAAGTCCATGATAACCGCTGTATGAATTGTTGACCATTTTCATGTTTAAATGTTGAATTCTGCTTAATCCGGTGCTAGGGGGGCGTGAATTGGAGTTTGCATTTGACACTCTGACAAACCGAATGACTCTCATTATATGAAGTCGAGAACTATATTATATTACAGTCATTTCAAGTGACATTTTGCAATTATAACAAAATAAGCTTTTTTAAGTATCAATGATGAAAAGTAAATGAATCATATGTATGACAATTCTGATTAAAAATATGTGATATGAAATACATTGCTAATATTCTCGCGTAAACTATGAATGTCTAAACATTTAAAAATAACGTTTGCGTAAACGCGCCATCTGTAAAATACATGAACTGAATTATTCAGAACCAATTTGGTCATCATTGTCCATCCATCTGTAAAAGAGTTTGAGAAATCATAAAAAAATATTCTAATCCCTAAAGCATATGATTATTAATATATACTTAAATACACGACTTTAAAACATTAATATAGTTTTTATTTGATTAAGGTTTTATCGACTGTACATGCCAGATTAATGTTAAATAACAACAGTTCAGAATGGCGCGTACGTGCTAAAATGGTTAAATCCATTGTTTTTAAGCCCCTTTGCCCTTACCGTTCGAATCCCGAAAGGGACTCTTGTTTTTTATGTTTGGAAGCTATCTAACTAGCTTACGGAAATGTATGAAGTTCTAATCAGGTTCCTGTACTTGCCTATAATAATATAAGGAGGGACACCTAAGGTGTTCCTCCAACAGTTAAGCAGGAAATGCGCCATATGACATCGATGTTAAAACGACGTCAAACAAAACAAAAAATAAAACAATTAATTTAATGTACACGTATTTCTATGATGGACTGTACATCATAGTATAATATCAATATTATGCAAGGGACGTTTAATAATACAGATTGGCAGTTTAAACCGGACCGAATGCTTTCATTAATATTAGTGAGTACGTTTCTCAAAGTTAATAAAGATATTATAAAATATTCTCGCCAAATTATTATTTTTACAGTTTTATAGATAATGATAATACATACGTATGCAGAATTCAAATCGTTGCCATCAGCCATCCACGGGAATGAACGGCCACCATTTGCCTTGAACTAAAATAAAAAACGTTTTTATCATCACCAATGGAGGACATTTTCGAGGCAGTAATACACTTCTTTATGTTCCAAATGTTACTTTGCATAGTATTACATTAATAAAAACTAAAATAATTAGCTTGTGGATAAGCCGTATTATTGCTAGGGTGCCAATGCCAAATGACAACAAAATGGAAATTATTAAGTTAAATGTGTTTTATTTTACTTAAAAAATGTCACAATACTTATTTCAAAGTTTTCCATTGATAGTTAACAAATATGTCAAGTTTGAAAAGAATTCATAATACTTGGGTTTCAAAAGGCAAATATAAAAGAGGAAATAATCAAGCAAACAAATAAAAAAAGGGAAGAATATCTGCCCTTAGACATGCATATCCAATTTGACATTGAACGAGAAATCCAAACAAATAATCCAATTTTAAAGTGAATATGATTGATGAACTTGGAGAAAATTATCACAACAAAAATGATAACTATGGTTTTAAAGTTAAATGGGGCGCATAACTGAGTAAAAATAAAACATTAATGTACCTGCTCTTTAGTAATGCATTGAAATATAGAATGTATTAAAGTGGTTATTTTTGACAGTATTTGAGCAATTATCCTTTGCAAACTAGCAAAATAATCTGGTCAAACAGAGGCTTAAATTTTTCAAAAGTAAAGTTTACGAGTCACCATTCTTCTGTAATGCTGTCATATGAACATTTGAACATGTACATTTTTACAATTTTGAAGTGAAATATTTCAATAGGTTTTTGAAGAAACAAACAAAAAAGTTACCAGCCGGAAAAAAAGAAAAATGGCAAGGAATTAAATTTAAAAAATAAGGTATTTTTTTTAAAAAATGGCCCCCACCAGGAATGAAAGTTTTAAAGGTTCTGGGTTGGACCCCATCGAAAAAAGACTGGACCATGACATTATACCTAAATAAAAGTTTATAGCTGAACATACGTACACTTGGTAATGAAGGAGAGCAGGCGGCCCCTCTGTTAAAACTCCAAATCAGGTTCTTTCGACCTAAGTAAGGTGGTACTTCATATATTCCTATCCAATAAAGAAAAGACAACAAGATCATTCACTATCCTAAAATATAAACATTTCATTACATTTGTCTCTAAGGAGGAAATTACTGCAGACTTAGAACTCAAATGTTTGATAAAGTTTTTATTATATATTAAGGGCATTTTGAATGGTTATGAATTAGTAGAAAGTAAACAGCGTTATATTTTGTTTTCATACAATTACTATGAGAGAAAAAAGTTAATAAGGTCAGTATTACCGTTAAGTGAGTACCGTTAATGTCCAATGCAATTAAGTTCTAAATATATTTGTTTCTTTTGTATTTTAAGCATGCTTGAATTTTACATAGGTAGCAAACAATTTGTTCACAGTGTTTTCTGAATCATGTTTTGTATAATTTAATCATCTGAATGAAGTCGTTGTTTATAAAATACCGCAGTTGTAGTACGTTAAAACATATTCGTCTAAAAGTTCCCCCAAGCCGTCCTTAAAACCCTTCAATAATTTTTCTCTACTATGATAATCGATTACCAAATCTAAAATTTTTCAATTTTTTCTCCATGTTAAAAATATGGCACCCCATATGTCTTATTTGTGAAAAAGTTTTTAGATAATCTTAAGTGACAAGAAAAGTTATAGATTGTCTTGTCTGATTAAAGTAGTTCATATTATATATTCAAGACCCGTTTCACAAAAGGCATGACCAAATACATATATTTTTTCAGACATTTCTGTTACATTTTACACTTAACAGAACCTTTAAGGTTTATATGTGCATATACATGTTACATCTGAAATGTTGATGTTGAAACAAAACAGGATACCGTTCAGATTTATTCGCGAAATGAAATTACTAAAAAGTACGGACGGAAGACAAAAATATTTGTCACCCCATTTATGTGTGGTGAGGTAGGAGATAAAAACAGAAAGTAAAGAAAACAATAGTCATGATAGAAATTTAAATGTTGACGTAAATATAAACTATTCTAATAATAATTGCTATTTTTTCATTTACCTGACTCGTGTGAGGCTTTTCCTCTGTTGTGCCGCCTGCAAAAAATATACTTGAATTTTGTTAAACATATTACGAGAACTTTTAAGAAATTGATCAATGCAATGAATTTTTTGAATTAATGGTAGCAATCATGCAAAGTGCACAAATTTACATGAATGGTAAATGTTTCAATATACAATTTTATCAAGAATATGTCATTTCAGGAATAAATTTGAAAGTTTTAGACAAAGCTTTTATTTATCATGCGAAATACTAATCCTCGACAGTAATGTTTTTTAGTTATTGCAAGGGTAATAACGCATGAGCCAGCGTCTGGTTTACTTTGACTGAGCATCACTACAAAGCCATATAAACATAACCATAGAATTTTAAAGAAGACTTCAGAATTCTTTTCAATATTCTTTTAATTAAGCTAGTATGAAATCGTTTTTGACAAAAATTTGACTGAAATGTGTCAATGAGGATTTGAATTATTTTGAATATCCAGAATGGGATCTTGTTAAATTCAATTTACAATCAAAATGTATGACCATAATTATGATCAATAAGATAAATATTTGTAGGCGTATCAGCAGTAAGTTGAGGTTAGTTAAGATGATTTATGACAGTGAAAACGGAAAAAAGAATGCACCATTTCGAAAAAATACTATAATTAAAAATAGAAATTCATTTCTTCTTTTCTTCCCGTTTGTTATGATGTTAAAATTTGCAAAATTACGGATGGCGAAATGATGCCGAATAAACTGCATTTGTTTTTTGGTATTGATTGCTAGCCTAACACCCGTGAATCATCTTTGTATGTAATAACAGTACGGTCAAATGACATGTATTTACGCATTCAATCACGTCCTAAACTGTTTTTATTAGTTCGTTGTCAAACAGGGTAAACTATTAACTTATATTTTAAGTTTTAACCATAACAATATATTCATCTAAAACAATCGGATCTTTAAACATTATCAAGAATATATAATTCTTTTCAAAACTTGCTTTCGCATTATTCTTTTTTTATAAATTTACTCTGATTCACTCTTGGAAAGACATTTGTGTAAAGATGGTTGCAATAGTATTATAATATATAACTGACCCCTTATTGGAACTATTATTGACTTCAGGTGATATTGTCTAACAATATTGATCTGGCAATTTGACCCTATACTCGATAAATTCCGTTAACGTTACGATCTATTTTGTAAGTCGATATGAATGTATATAACCAGTTGTTAGAAGGTCTTAAGTAGAAAGAAACACGGTCGGTAAATGTCTTTCACCTAAATATATAGGCGTAAATTCGATTCAGCCACTTTTATTTCTTTTTATTGTTATTCTAAACCTGCTATTCTCTATAACACTGCCAATGATATCGACTAGTGATGTGCTTTTTATTAAAATATAACGTAACGAAATAAATTGTTAAAAATACTACATGTACTTGAAAGGTATCCAACAATCAGATATAGTGAAACGATTTCAAATTAATTTCTGCAAAATATATGTTTATTCATAACGTGGTCTTTGGTAGGAATCGAACCAGATACCTTCAGATTGTAAGCCCGGCATTTATACCGACACAGGGCGACTCACTGACGTGAAGCTATCAGATATATCGATATATTTGTTAGATATAAAGTTTAAGAAAGTTAAGGAAGTGCGATGTCAACATTGTCAGATAATATTTTTCCTTTTCTGGGTTGTTATAATTTTCACAGTTGACCAATACGATAGAAGCAACAGCTGAGGGACTTGCGTTTTGGACAAAATATCTTTTAAAAGATATTGATTTTTGATTTTGCTTGATATGATAACCGGATTAAGGCCTCATAAATTGAAAATACTTGGCAAATATGATCAATATTGAGGCATAAAAGAATATGTCTTCATTTAGGAAAATGTTAATAGGCATACAACATTTGACAGACGATAGACAAAGGGAGGTCACTCACTCCGATGTCTTAGTGTCAATTGAACAACAGCTATGAGTAAAATAAAAATGCCAAGGTTCCTTGTAATAATTTACCATTGCTTTCGGTAGCGTCTGATCTGCAGCGCACAAATTATCAACATTATTACTGCCACTACAAAAGCAACAGCTCCCAAGACTGGTCCAACAATTATAAGATAGTCCTCTGAAATCAGAATTATGCATTTTCATTAGATATGTTAGACGTTATTTACTTACAATAGTGCTACATTTGACGTGAAAGATGACATTACTTGTATTGGATTAACATTATGTTCTATCAAAAGTCGAATTTGACATTTATATACTCATTACTGTTACATTTTACACATACTTATTTCAAAAAGTATGATTTTTAATAATTTATCAAATTTGCGCAAGTGGACCCAAACTTTGTCAAGGCGAAACTGAAACAAAACGGTATTTTACGGTTAAAAAGTATCTTATGACTAAGAAAATATTATGTTTATATAATTCATCCAATACTATAAATTAAAATAGTTAATATATATGGGAAATATGTTATATGGTGTTACCTTTGACACTTTCGTCATACGTATTTCTGAAAATTAAAAAGAAATCATCAAACAGAAAGAATAAAAGCGTAACACTGGTAACTGACAAATCATATCCTCAAGTAGTGAAAAACAGAATCCCTAAAGAAAGTCCTACACGACAAAATTGAAAATGTTGCAGGCTCGGTTGGATTGAGTCTGTTCATGGACGGTACTAGAAAGTGCAAGTTACATTTTACGCCTCCTGGCACTGGCTAAAGCAAAATTCAACATTTAACACAAAAATTGTGAAATTTTGAATTTAAAATACAGGAACAACCAAAGTTGAAAAGGGCCATAAAGAAGAAACAAAAGTACCACATAACATGTATACAAAACAATAATGTCGTCCTGAACGATCTTGAAGTACCGAAAATACAACATCATAGATTAAATGTACGGGAAGACTTTTTACAGCAGCCATACGGCACAAATAACACGGATGTGACAATAAAACAAGCCATTGTACAAAAAAGAGAATTGACAAGAAGGTATTATTTTAATTTCACATAAAAGTATTTTTATTTTACCGACAAATTGGCTTGTTGCCAACAACTTGACAACGACTATTCTTATCACACTGTCCTGCAAGAAGTTCCCGTAGATAACATGGGTCTGCATGTGTTGGTAATACTGAAAAGTAATATATAGCCTTAGTATAAATAGTTTGTTATTTTTCTGTACAATGTGTGTTGTATATATCATACATAATACAACTGTTGCTCAAGTCTTTAACATCAGGTTAAGGCAAACCGAAAGATGTTTTATACCTCGTACTAGTGAATCTAAATTTAAACTTTTAAAATATAAAAAGCAAAATCATCTAGGAAGGCAACGAACTCAACCCCCACATGACCCAGCAACGCAAGTGATCCTTCTCATACATAAGAATCAATACCGGGTTGTAACGCTATTGAGAACATAAATCAGTTGTGAAAAAATAAGTGCTGAAGATTTGCTGTGGCAAATGCCAAAGGCACAAGATAGATGAATACAGTAATATAAGATATTGTTTACTTTTTACCTATTATATAGTAGGTAGGTAAGATAACAAAAGAAAAATGATTTTATTCGTGTAAAAAATAAAGAAAAAAATAACGAAAAATGTTTAGACATGATTTTAAATACTTAGAATAAAATACTTAAAAGAACATTGTTTTGGCAATATTTTATTTTTGCCTGTATATTTTTGTTTGAAATCGGTATAGAACAGAAAGTACAGGGACACAATGAGGTAGTCACAAGCTACATGGTAAGAAAAGAATAATTATTATAGAAAGTGCAATTTTTGACATGGTCGGATTTAATATGTTAAAAATCCGAAATATATTAGAACCATATGGTAGAAAAAACATGTTTTGACATAAACATTGACATGATTTATTTGCACATTTAAACAAAAATCAATCGGTCTTATTTTCAAAAATTAGAAGATTAAATAAATTTATGTGAAATACTCGGTTTGACTGGAACACGATTTCCGTCAATATCAAGGCTTCCTTCTTCATCTAGATCCATAATTGCCTGAACAACAATATCAGCTACCAACGTCTGATTTTTCTTGTCATCAATAACTACTGTGTAATCTACAATAATACTTCCGGCTCTGTTAAAACAAATGAATTGATAAATGTGTGCAGCCAATTAGAATCATTTGAATTTTTAATTTGTGATGAATCAATAAAAAGAGAAATTAATATCCTGGAAGTTTATTTTTAAATTTTGTCATGGTTCCTATGGGAATGAATGTATTGATTCAAATAAACTTCAGTGTTCAGTATTTATTGTTATTTTTCATTCATTTATTTATGATTTGATGGAAGGCATACTAGTATTCTACAATAAGCATTAGGATCAACAAGACAAGTAGCTGTATATTATTAGGTTTAGTGATGCGTGGGTGCAAGACTTCTGTTTTAATCTGCATTTTACGATCTTATATATATTTGATTGTAACATAATAAAATAAATAAGATACTCGTCATAGAAGTCCAATATAGGTTATACCCTCTGAAATATCGCATTTAAAACATTTTAGTGACAAATTCCATTTACTGAAATAGATCAAGTTATACCAAAATCTTTACCAGAATGAAACTAAGTAGACCCGAACTTGATTGCATTGTTGTTTCATTTTTATGGTCCATCTAGATAATTTATATCAACACATAAAGTGTACAAGAGAGCCTCCCCTTTTCCCGACATTTATATCATACAAACTGGAAAGTTTGGAAAAAGTGTATATTCATTATTCCCATCATTAGTACATTTGATTAATCCATATTTATGTACTTGTTATCTTGTATAAATAAAACAGGAGCATATATAACAAACCTTATACTGTTGACATAAACGTAAACAGAAGCTTTTGTTGCCGTTCTGAAGTATCCCTCCAACTAGAAAAAAAAACACCCCAAAAAGGAATTACCAAAACGTTTCGCATAGAAATGAGGAAGCGATAATTGTCTCATTATGTATTATAAGGGAAAGCAAGTTTGATTTTATTCAAACAGTATGATTTTACAAAATAGAAATAATGCAATTCATATTATTGTATTCAAAATGTGCAAAAATAGACACACATATCATTTATTTTTGTTATTATATCTTCAACTCTTTAACTGGTGCAAGGACTTTATTCAAGAAAATGAAATTTAGGGATACTTTTTTTCTCTATTTTGCAGTAAAACACTTGAACGCTTAATTAATGAAAGTAGTTTGATGCACGAATTCATTTTAACGCATGTGTAAAAAAAAGTAAAGTGTGCGTAAGTGACTACAAAAATTTATGTTAACCATCATAGTAAACATTTAGTAAGTGTTTTAATATTATTACTGTTTTCCTTATTTCTGTATACAAAGAGTAGTTTCTTAAAACTATTTCACTTCCTATAGAGAGGCGAATAGTTGAAGATACCGCTTGTTCACTCACATCTGTAAAAGACAAGATAAATTCAATACAATCTATGCTGATAATACGACTTTTAATTGCTGAATGGTAGATATTAGGTTATTCTAACATGTATGTTTTTATAACAAGAACATAATTTGAAATCCTTAGATATAGTTTGTTCGAGACCCATTGGAGCGTTTTTAAGTGTACTTTTACTGATCTGATTTACCCAATATTTTTATCATGAAACGACTAGTTTTCAATTCTTACTGAGACCTACGTAGTCCCGTTGTCATACTTTCATTTATAAACTTTAAAATATGTGGGAGAAGAGTTTCATGTTTACATGTTTAAAATGCTACGGTGCTACATTCGCACGAAGTAGGGAATTTAAATTTCAACTTCGTTACTTGGTAACATTTTTTGTTTTTATTTAGTGGTCATATACTTGTTAAAGATTAAATGACAAAATATTAAAAATTCTTATGCATCTAATGATAATAATATTACATTTATGTTTTAAAGTTTTAAGTTTGCCAACAAAATTTCATACATCCTATTCATCAGTAACATGCATGAACTTATTATTCATCATCTAAATATATAATAAATTAAAATAAATCATAATTACGACATTTAGATATGGACACAAAAGACGCAAGCTAAACTCGAATTTGATTTAAAAAGAAAGTTAGTGCTTCTACCTTTACATGTTAAACCGTCCTCATTCAAAAGTCGTTTATCTTCACAAACACATTTGTATGTTCCATCGAAGTTGATACACTTCTCTTCACACTTGCCATTTTGATCTGCACATTCGTTTATATCAAAACATGAAACCATGTCAAAGTCAAGATTGTACCCGTCTTGACACATACATTTGAATGATCCGTCAAGATTTTCACATTTGTGTTTACAGCCACCATTTTTGTCAAGACATTCATTAATGTCGATGCATACCTTTTTGTTTACATGTACTTTATATCCGTCGGTGCATGAACAACTGAAAGACCCATTAACATTGATGCATACCTGACCGCAACCACCATTATCAGCAAGGCATTCGTTTATGTCGACACATGTCTTTTTGTCATCATGTAAACTATATCCGTCGTTACAGGAACAGATAAATGAGCCATCATTGTTGGTGCATATATGGTCACAACCACCGTTTTTATCAAGACATTCGTTATTGTCGATACATGTTTGCCTGTCAGTATGTAAATCGTACCCATCGTTACAGGAACACATGAAAGAACCTTCCGTGTTGCTACATGCGTGAAGACAACCACCGTTATTGTTGAGACATTCGTTTATATCGGTACAGGTCCTATCATTTTCATGTAAATTATATCCTTCCTTACAAGTGCAGGTGAATTGTCCAATTGTGTTGTTACACATGTGGTTGCAACCACCGTTGTCATTAAGACATTCATTAATATCGATACATGTCCTGTTATTTTCATGCAAATTATAACCGTCCATACAAAAACAAATAAACAAGCCATCCTTGTTGCTGCAAGCGTGATCACAACCACCATTGTTACTTAGGCATTCATTAATATCGATGCATATTCTGTTATTTTCATCTAAACTGTACCCGTTATTACAGGAACAGCTAAACGAGCCATCCAAGTTGCTACATATGTGATCACAGCCACCGTTGCCGTCAATACATTCGTTTATATCGACACATGTTCTGTTATCTTTATGAATACTAAATCCTTCGTTACAAAAGCAGGTAAACGAGCCGTCCGTGTTCCTGCAGTTGTGATCACAACCCCCATTGTCAACAACGCACTCATCAATGTCGATACATGTTTCCTCACTTCCTTGCAAATCAAAACCGTCATTACAGGCACAGGTGAAAGAGCCATCTGTATTGGTGCAAATATGTGCGCAACCACCGTTGTTATCAAGACATTCGTTATTGTCGATACATGTTCGCCTGTCAGTATGTAAATCATACCCGTCGATACAAGAACAAATGAATGAACCTTCTGTGTTGCTACATGTGTGAAAACAGCCACCATTATTGTTGAGACATTCGTTCATATCGGTACAGGTCCTATCATTTTCATGTAAATTATATCCTTCCTTACAGGTGCAGGTGAAATGTCCATTTGTGTTGTTACATATGTGATCGCAGCCACCGTTGTCATTAAGACATTCATTAATATCGATACATGTCCTGTTATTTTCATGCAAATTATACCCGTCCTTACAAAAACAAATAAACGAGCCATCCTTGTTGCTGCAGGCGTGATCACAACCACCATTGTTACTTAGGCATTCATTAATATCGATGCATATTCTGTTATTTTCATCTAAACTGTACCCGTTATTACAGGAACAGCTAAACGAGCCATCCAAGTTGCTACATATGTGATCACAGCCACCGTTGCCGTCAATACATTCGTTTATATCGACACATGTTCTGTTATCTTTATGAATACTAAATCCTTCGTTACAAAAGCAGGTAAACGAGCCGTCCGTGTTCCTGCAGTTGTGATCACAACCCCCATTGTCAACAACGCACTCATCAATGTCGATACATGTTTCCTCACTTCCTTGCAAATCAAAACCGTCATTACAGTCACAGGTGAAAGAGCCATCTGTATTGGTGCAAATATGTGCGCAACCACCGTTGTTATCAAGACATTCGTTATTGTCGATACATGTTCGCCTGTCAGCATGTAAATCATACCCGTCGATACAGGAACAAATGAATGAACCTTCTGTGTTGCTACATGTGTGAAAACAGCCACCATTATTGTTGAGACATTCGTTCATATCGGTACAGGTCCTATCATTTTCATGTAAATTATATCCTTCCTTACAGGTGCAGGTGAAATGTCCAATTGTGTTGTTACACATGTGGTTGCAACCACCGTTGTCATAAAGACATTCATTAATATCGATACACGTTCTGTTATTTTCATGTAAACTGTATCCGTCCTCACAAGAACAAATATACGAGCCGTCCTTGTTGCTGCAGGCGTGGTCACAACCACCATTGTTACTTAGGCATTCATTTATATCGGTGCATGTTCTGTTATTTTCATCTAAACTGTACCCGTCGTTACAGGAACAGCTAAACGAGCCATCCAAGTTGCTACATATGTGATCACAGCCACCGTTGCCATCAATACATTCATTTATATCAACACATGATCTCTTATTTTCATGAATACTAAATCCTTCGTTACAAAAACAGATATACGAGCCGCTCGTGTTCCGGCAGTTGTGATCACAACCCCCATTGTCAAAATTGCATTCGTCAATATCAATACATGTTCCCTCATTTCCTTGTAAATCAAATCCGTCGTTACAGGAACAGGTGAAAGAGCCTTCAATGTTGGTGCAAATTTGTTCGCAACCACCGTTGTTATCAAGACATTCGTTATTGTCGATACATGTTCGCCTGTCAGTATGTAAATCAAACCCGTCGTTACAGGAACAAATAAATGAACCTTCCGTGTTGCTACATGTGTGAAAACAACCACCGTTATTGTTGAGACATTCGTTCGTATCGGTACAAGTCCAATCATTTTCATGTAAATTATATCCGTCTTTACAGGTGCAGGTGAAATGTCCATTTGTGTTGTTACACATGTGATCACAGCCCCCGTTGTCATTAAGGCATTCATTAATATCGATACATGTCCTGTTATTTTCATGTAAACTATACCCTTCCTTACAAGAACAAATAAACGAGCCGTCCTTGTTGCTGCAGGCATGATCGCAACCACCATTGTTACTTAGACATTCATTAATATCGATGCATGTTCTATTATTTCCATCTAAACTGTACCCGTGGTTACAGGAACAGCTAAACGAGCCATTTAAATTGCTACATATGTGATCACAGCCACCGTTGCCGTCAAAACATTCGTTAATATCGACACATGTTCTATTATTATCATGTACACTAAATCCTTCGTTACAAAAACAGGTAAACGAGCCGTCCGTATTGCTACAATTGTGATCACAACCCCCATTGTCAACAATGCACTCGTCAATATCGATACATGTTCCCTCGTTACCTAGTATTTCAAATCCGTCGTTGCAGGAACATGTAAATGAACCCTCTGTGTTTGTGCACACATGACTGCAACCACCGTTGTTGACGAGGCATTCATCAATATCGACGCATGTTCTGTTGTTTCCAGTTAGATCATACCCATCGTTACATAAACAGTTATATGAACCATCTATGTTGCTACATATGTGATTACAACCTCCGTTGTTAAAGAGGCATTCATCAATGTCGACACATGTTCTGTTGTTTCCATTTAAATCGTATCCGTTGTTACAGGAACAGTAAAATGAACCATCCGTGTTGCTACATGTGTGATGACAACCACCATTGTCTTCCAGGCATTCATCTATATCAACACATGTTCTCTTGTCGTCTTGTAGTATATACCCATCATTACAGGAACAGGTGAATGAACCAACTGTGTTGTTGCAGATCTGATTGCAACCAAAAGGTCTCTGTTTCGCACTACATTCATTAATATCTTTTTTTAAAGGAATAAAATGAAGAAATATTACCAATTATTTTGTAAACAATATAGTCCATTAATAATTATCATATAGGTTATTATCATATTCTATGTAACTTATGTTTACATTTATTATATGATCTAAATATCGCTGCAGTCTCATTGGTGCAAACAGTAGTCAACAGAACTTTTTATAAAATCATATTCACTAGGTGTAGTATCATATTCACTGACTGAATTGGATTTTCCCAGTCAAAAAATAGGTTGAGACTCATATTCAATGATCATGCACCGTAGATTGTTAATTACGCGTGTTAATTAAAAATAAGTGCTACACCGCAATGATGAGTATAAACTTGAATTATTTTTGTATGCACAGCATACACGCCTAACACGTGCGTCTTCTTTCCCGCGCTTCAACCAGGCAAAATTTGTACATGTATATAAGGTTGTAATTTTTGTGATTTTTTATTAATTAGCCTATCCATTTAATAAAACAATTATTGACTAGTGAGCCACTGAATATAATGTGATATTCAGAGCCCTAAAAACATATTTACCTCGGCTATCACCTCGGTCAATGTGTCATCTGCCGGTGAATATCACATCATATCCAATGAATCACTAGTCAATAATTGTATGCTATATAATAATAATTTGTTAAAAGTTCAAGGAACATAATATGTTTTTATTGATAAATTAGATGAAAATATAAAAAAGTACTTGTTATAAGTTGTTCAGATTACTTGTTTACTTTGAAACACCCACAATTATACAATAATTGCTTCTAAATACTTAAAACCCGATTAGTAAAATGTTGATGTTTAAAAATAAAAAGTTTGATAAGAGATGTTTGATTTACCTGAACATGCAATTCCATCTTCATCAAGAGAATATCCTTCAAAGCAGGAGCACATGTATGACCCTATCGTGTTGATACACAAGTGTGAACAGTTATGTCCACCATGTTTACATTCATTGACATCTGTGTTATATAATTGTAAAAGAATTAGCACAGAAATATGGTATGATTCGTTAAACAAAATAAACAGTTTAAAATATAAAATTGTTATCAAATTGAAAAAGAGATTATTTTAGTAGAAACAAATATTGGGAAATATTACATTGTTACAGTACATACAACAGTATTGTATTTGCACACGCAATTTTATTGTGTGTTAACGCAAATAGAGAATATAAGATTTGCAAGAATAAGATTACCATTATGTTATATTTTGTGATGTGTAAACATAACACAACATGTATTTACCTTGAAGTACAACATTTATATAAGCATCGGAAGAGGTGATATTAGTCACTACATTCCCAGCAATACAATTGTACTTGTCATAAGAATCAATTTCTGTAACGTTTAAAACGGTCAGAATATTGAAACCTTCTCCTGGGATAATCGTATCATTCTTCAGCCAAATAAAATCAGGTTCCGGATCGCCTATAGCATTGCAGAATAATGATACATCGCTGCCGTATAAGACAGTCTGATTGTGAAGCTGTTTTACAAACGTCGGAGCCTCTGAGCAAAATAAATTCATACTGACAAGCCTGTTAATGTTAAAGAGAACATACTCAAATGCGGATGCAGTATCAATTATAGAGGAAGATTCGTTCTGAAATGTTTGAATCAGTAAACTTTCAAGATCAAGAATTGACTGTTGGATGTTTGATATATTTGGAATAGTTTCTGATTCATAAAGAACGTACAAGTTGGAAATAGCGTAAAATATGCAGTCCTGGAAGTCTTCGCATTCGGATTCATTGAAATAATTCCTTGTCATATTTTTCATCGACGTAAACCAGGCATTTTGATAATCAATTGTCTCAACAGATTTCATTTCATCATCCACGCTTTTACTTGAAACACTTACCGCCGACTTAATTTCAATAAGCAGTGGATCTTCAGCAGCTGCCGTTTTTGTATCATTGATTGCTTTGTCAATGTCATTATCTGTCATATTGTAATCCACAGCAGCATATTCGCTACTTATCCCGACGCTGTCACTTGTCATGTTTTCAGATGGTACATTTATACTGCTAAACTCTTGTAGCTGCCTCTTTACATTGTCAACTTCTCCGATGTAAGCTTTCGAATCATTTACAACTTCTTGCAAAGAATTGAAAGAGTCTTGCATAAAGCTCTGTATCAATGTTATTGTTAAACATTTTTCCCTATATAATTCTACTCTACTCCCAGAATCACTCTCTTCTGATCCACGAAAGCCACTGATATTTTTACTCAAATCAATCGTTTCATCAAGGTTATTTAAGGTATTGTTAACATCATCCGATTCCCGAATTTTGCGAAGCAACACATGCATTCTTGATGAGGCATCGAACTCTATATCTCTACGTTTACGACCAGAAAATATTCCGCCAAAAGTATCAATTATAGCTTTAATTGTTGCCCGTGCTGCCTGCCAAATACTCTGCAATATGTTTTTAAAATTTATTTTTAATTTAATTTCGGTCCAGCCGAGCTTAAATGCATTCACTTCACATGAAACTTCAAATACAGGAAGATCTTTGGTTGACATTTTTATATCGAATCCACAGTTTTTAACATCTATTCTCGTTTTCAAGCCATACTCTATGACAAATTGAAGAACTTCAGCCGCAGCGCCGATGACAATTTTGACTGCTTCTAAAGCAATTTTTGCTGCCTCTAAAACGCCTTTTGCTACATCAAGGCCAATTTTTGCTAATTCTAAAATTCCTTCTGCCACAACCAAAACAACACGAGATTTATCTACTACGAACTGAGCAACTGAAACAGCTGCTATAGCAACATCATATGCAAGCATCGCAGCCCTTACAAATATTTTTGCAAGTTCTAGTACAATATAAGCTGCAGCTCGAATGATCCAGCAAGCTATATTTGCCAGGACGCAAAATGGATCTGGAAAACTTATCATACAACTTGTGAATTTGCAGCATGGATAAGGTATCTTTACAAACCAAACTTTCTTAAAGCAAATTCTACATTTAATGCCAGGTATGCAAACTTTTTTGCATGTCCTTATTTTACACAAATTATTGATATTTCGCTGTGCTTTTTCCAATTTTTGTATTGCTTCACGCAGAGGCCCCTTTGCATTTTCAAGGTTTTGCTTTGTTTGTTCAAGTTTTTCTACAGCATTGTCAAAAACAACGTTTGCAGCTCTGACGTCTTTTTGCTTTTTGTCTAACCAATCTTGTGCTTTAGTTAATCCATTTTGTGCTGAAGTGAGTGCGTTTTGCACCTGAGTTAACCGTTTTTGTGCTTCATCCGATATCATCCGGATAACTTTCTTCAAAGCATCCAAGTAACTGCTTTGAAAAGAAGAACTTTCTGTTTGTACCTGTCGACGATGTCTTTGATAATACTGATTGCGGAGTGGTACCAATGATGTTTCCATGATGTAATCACGGCGTTTCCTTGCTTTTGCAACAAATCGTCCACGAAGATGAAAAGTCAGTTCATCCCAGTCTTTCCCTACCTCCGCTTCAACGTCTATTTGAGCTAAGAAAATGTCCCAGATGTTTCCTTCTAAATAAAAATATAGGCCTTTTATGCTTATAAAAAGATCTCCAGTTACTTTTATACCTAGCATTTTTATATGTGCCTGCAAATGCAAGAGAACAGTTGACGAAGTTGTCGAAAGTGCAATGCCTAAACCTGCTCCTTTCTCATATTTAAGAAATTTTCCAAATTTGTATTCTTTTGAAACCCTTCCTAGAACTCGCACAGCATTTTCCCCATCCAGTAATTTCTTAACGGCTTCAAAACGGCTACATCTAAAAAGGTCTCCACTTGAATATATCAATTCAAAGTCGAATCCAGCGAATTTTAAACTTTAAAAAGTCCAGTCTGAGGTGAACTTCAATCCAAAGCCCGTGTAGTTTCCAACAGAAGATACAATATTATCACTTATAATTTTCGTTATATTTCTGACACTATCCTCTATCATTTTGACATGATCATCTAGTAGTTTTACAAACTGATCTTTCGATTCATTTATAACAAATTCAGTTCTATCTTTTAAAACAATAAGTGCTGACCTTATATGTTCTAGGTTTTTGTGGATACCATTGATATCTTTGATCAGCTCTTTATAGTCTCCAGTAAACAAATCATTTAAATGTACGTGTATTTTTGTCTTAATTATATTTAAAGAATCTTTTATTTGTACAACAACTGTTTCAATTGTATTTGAAACAGCGAGTTCGATATTAAACAATCCTTCGTTAAGTATTTCTGTGGTTTTGTTTAAGAAATTGTCAAGTTTTAGTATATCGTTTGCTATACTAAACCGTATTCCTTCTAAAGGATTATCTTTTGGATCTGTGTTCATAAACAAATGAACACGATTTAATGAAGAAATTTCTTTCAGAAAAGGTATTCCCTTAAATGGGTTTAATTCAACCATTACTGAGAGATACAATCCTTCTGGGTTTGAACCATCACCACACCATTGACGACTTGAACCTTAGAAATAGAGATGTTTATGATACACACTATCATATAGCGCATGTTTTAGCAGACGACAGTATCTTCAGAGGGGAATGGACTCAATTGTTTACTTAATAAAAATACTACACTTATCAGTTTAAATCTGTTTAACCATTTAAATAATTAAATGAATAAAACTAAAAATAAAACACAAGACAGTACTTGAAACAAAATAATTTATGTTTAATTCATTTTGATTTTTTGCTGATATGCATTACTTAAAGAATTTACCTCCGATAGAAATATATGCATTTGCAGTAGATGTAAGCAATGGAAGGGTCACGGAACGTTCCTTGCCAAATAAATCAAATCGGAGAATAGGTGACAAAGATAGTTGGATATCGATAAATCCTGTCCACTCTTCTACAAACATTGATGTTAATATCTACAAATTAAAACAGTCAGTCATTTAGATTAAATCAAAATAAAAACCAATCACAACAACAATAAAACAAAAACAAAAATAACATCATCATCATCATCATTATCATCATCATTATCATCATCATCAACAACAACAACAACAAAACATCAAATAAATGCCGAACTGTTGATGTTAGCATCTACAAATTACAGAAAGCGCACTGCAATGGAAACAAATATCACAAGGAGATCGAACGTTTGTGTCCACATCTTATTATTTTGTGTGTCCACATCTTCTAAGACAACTATAGCATTATCACATTTGTTTAATGTACTTATGAAGATATTCCTATTTCATGGAAACCGCACCATTTTGAAAAGCATGCCCCTGAAAAGTGCTAACGGCGGCTGAGCACACAACTTTGCGCTTGGACGGCTTCCAGTCCCATACTATACAAGTATCATGTGATTGACCACTCGTTTTATTATAAACAAAGATTTGTGCAAATATTAAATTAACTATATAAAATTATTCATTTTACCCATATGAATAGGAAACATTATTACGTCAATGTTTTGCACGTTATCGGTATATAAAATATTATGCAACTTTTACAACGAAGCTTACCGACATGCCAGCATAATAACGATGGTTACTTGGAATTCTTTTAATGATAATAGAAATTTGTTGTAGTGTATACACTAATAGATATTTCGGCATTGTTTGGCACATAACGCTAGAAATGTTTATATTTCCCTTCATTCTTATGTTTCGTATACAACATTTAAATATTACATAAAATAACATTTTCTGCATGAAATATTATTGAATATATTGAAATATAGATTGATGTTATAAATAACTGCCGGTTATTTTACACAATAACTTTCGTTAATCAATTATAAGGGGCGTCCGTGGTCGAGTGGGTAATGTCGTTGACTTGCAACTAATTGCCCCTCACCGCCGACAAGGATTTTCGATTATTTCATGTGAGGAAAATATTGAATAAGCTGACTGACGGCGTTTCAATTCAAATGACTGTTTATGCCTGAACATATGCATGGAAGGGTACCTGAGGTCTTCCCCCCAGTAAAGTCAGAAGAACGACATATATCCTTTCTCCCTGTCGATTCAACGTAAAACCCATCCAATGAAAATAATCAATACAAGTTATATATTTTTGTTAACATGAATCGATGTACTGTTTGTTTGACCTACACACATAAAATGTTTGTGTATCCATGATATGATAATAGAAATAAAAGTACGGTTCAATGATTGGGATGGCACTTACCCATTTGTAACAATTAAAATGACATAACATAATAACAGAGTGCATAATCAAAGACACCAGGTTTGGGTCGCAAAATTAAAATCTAAAATAAATGAAACACAGAACAGACCACTCACTGTTTGAATGCTTGGAACACCAAAATAAATATCAGCGTTTCCTTCAACTGTAAAATGTTTGTCATATTTGCTGATCTCACCACCTATCCAGACATTTACATTTGGCTGAAATCTTCATAAAAACATTAAAACAGTTTAAACAACGCAAACGCTAGATATAAGAGCAAGTCAAAAATATATGAGTAGATATTCATTCACAATCAAATCGATAAAAGGCTTACACAGAAAGATGTGTTTGATATGTCCTTGACAATATAATCTGTATAAGATTTCAAAGGATTCGTAAATGTGCCAAGAATTTAACAAAAAAAAATGAGATCATTAGATTCCTGACCGTAGAGCTACGGATATTACTCTACCACCTTACATATTGCATGCTGGTAAATATTTAAGAGAAAAAAAGATAAGCAATGACAGAATGACATATATAAGATCCGTACATAATTTTGAACGTTATACAGGACGGCCAATTCAATTACTGTATGCCTGAAAGAGACAAAAGCAGCAGTAACTCGCATGAGATTTTATATTGACTAGCTATTTAGATAGGTAGAACCTCTTTATCGCTTTTTACGTTATTTCGTCTTAAAATGATACTCAACTACAATCAATAAAAAAATGCGACTTCTCTTATAGTTAAGATAAATGCATTGTGTCAAGCATACGGTGTAAACATTGTGTCTCCATTCCAGAGTTGTCCAGATAAAGTGTGGTAATTTGCATTTATCCCTTTCAAAAGTGAAATGCCGATTCCTCTCGGACGAATGTGCAAGTTTTGTCTATTCTTTAGCGCTTGGAACATGCTAATGTCTAATAACATATCTCGGGAACCATCTGGTATCATCAAAAACACTGTCCCGCCGTTATGTTGGCAAAGGTCGACAATCAAGCAAAATCGTCTCGAACTAAATGGTTTTGGTATGTCTATTACATCCCCGAATATGTTGAGCTTAAATCCTGTACTAAACCTAAATACCGTGTATAAATGATTTGAGATAACTGGTGCACCGTCACACCACGACACATCATCCATGTCTTTCCCATAAACGAGAGTAGTTTTTGTATCTTGAATAGACAATATCTCAGTTCTTGATTTTTCAAATCTTAGCCAGGAAGGAATTGCAGTAAAAAGCGAGAACAATAAAGTATTCATAAAGGAGTCCATACTTATGAAATCGAATATATCACTTTCAACAAGTTCAAACGCTGCACAAACATCGTCTGTTTTTCCACTTTCCATTATTGCTCCTTCAGTCAATTCGTACAGCGACCCATACTTTAACGTAAACTCGTCATTTCGTTTAATCACCTCAAGTCCCTTTAGTGATATTGGCACAGAGAAATTGTTTACGTTAGCAAAGACAACACCGTGTGTAAACATCACGTCTTGATCAACATGTAGTTTATACCAGTGCGTTGTAGAGCTTAAATAGATTGTAATGTCATTTCCATCTACGCATTGGGCAAGCGTTACAGTGAAACACGCTTTCGGCAGGAGCTGTCGAGGAATTTCGAGTCGTTCAAACACAGTCTGGGTTTCTTCTTCCCCTAAAGTAAATCATCAAACGCTAGCTAGTTACAAGGTTCACGTATATAACCAGCTTATCGAATATCCCATTAGTCTTAATTAGTTCCTTTAAAGATGTAAGTGATATCAAATTTACAAAATTTCCAATTTTCCCTTACTTTGTTAACAACAATTTAAGTTTCACATTTTCCAGCTTATCTGAAAAGGTCACAATATTTGTAACAATATAGACGATATAATACGAAGTTCTTGTATACACGTTTTCAAAGTTTTTCATCGTGTTTTTAATAAATTTTGTCTATTAGTGATTATTGCTAAAATTTTAACAATCCAACTCAAGCTGCATAATTGTTAAGCAAGTCATATTCTTAATATTGAACAACGTTTATGATCCATCGACTTACCTCCAAAACACGAGAAACCATCCTCGCTTAGCTCTCGATTCCCTGAACAACTGCAGTAAAACGAACCTTCTGAGTTTGTGCATACATCTTGACAACCCCCATTTGCAAAATCGCACTCATTAATATCTAGAAGTTAACCAATATAGATTAAAATAGACTGAACTTTATTTGATCTGTATCAAATTTTTAATAAGCATGGCTTGTGCTGCCGATTTAAGTAAAGCCATTTCAAAATATTTCAGCAATTTCCAAACTGACAACCTTTCTGATTCGTGTATTCAATGAGTTGTAAATTGAAACACAAAATGTCTATTTACTGTAATTAATGTAATTTACACGTATAGCAATTTAATAGTATAAAATTCGTCGAAATTCTATGTTCATTACAACCATCAGAATGATTTTAAAGACATTATATTCGGTTTTGTAAATTTCAAAGCAATGCAGTGTTCATTCGACATCTTTCGACACACCCATGTTATATAAATCTTGCATTTACTGTCAGACTTGGCGATACCTTTCGTCTCACTGACATATAAACAATTATCAATTTTGATAAATTCGATTTTCCATTGCTTTAACTGTACAACGCCAAATGTAACTCAGCAATTTGATCGGATAAAACATTGTATCTTTAGGTATATATCATAGAAATGTTATTTTGATAAACGTCTAATTTAGCTAGATATGTTAAAAGCCAGCCTTGACAAGATGACATCAATCGTTGGAGCATGCAACATTTTAACCGTTGACGTGTTGAGCTATATAATTATAAGATTCTTAGTTTGACTAGGGAAAGTTCTTAACCGATAAATTGTGATAATAAATGAACAAAGAAATGTTATTTTGGTGACAAAACGTTCTTGTGACCATAGTAAAACGGAGTTTTAATGGTCAATTGGTTTGAACTTTTTTCAAATATATAAATGTGAAGTTGCAAAAGGACGAAATCAATATGCCGATGACTGACGAAAAATTCGAACATTAGAAAAATAGACTTTTAGAAAAGGTTTGAACATTGCGCCGTCTCTAGAGCGGCTATATGCTTCATAAATTGCACGAACGTGAAATGTTTTCAGAATATGTTCAATGATTAAAAGATCAGTAAATATTACGCTGTTAGATCTGAGGAATGTAGAGTATGTTTGCCAATCAGTCAGTCATCATAAAGCACCGATAAACTGTATTTTAAGAGGAATTTGCTCACCTGTTTCGCAGTGTTTGCCGCGGAAACCTGTGTCACAAGTACACGTGTATTTATTCAACCCATCAACACATGTACCTTTATTCATGCATACAACACCTTCACAGTCATCAACGTCTGTAATTTAATTAAGAATTTGCTCTTTTTTCTATTGACAACATTTGTTGAAGAAAATGTCAGAAAATACTTAAAGTTCTTCCGTTTTAAATCATTATATACAATTACATTTTCATTAAATGTCCAGATGAAGTTGATAATTATAGACAGATGCGCCCTTTTCCTTTTCGTCTTTGTTTTATTTCTCGCTTTATTTCTGTGTCCTGATGATTTGATATACACGCTTTAAAATTAAGTTCAGTTACATTTTAGGGGCGTCCGTGGCCGAGTGGTTAAGGTCGTTGACTTCAAACCACTTGCCCCTCACCGCTGTGGGTTCGAATCCCGACAGGGACTTTGGAGTCTTTCATGTGAGGAAGCTATCCAGCTAGCTAACGGAACGTCGGTGGTTCTACTCAGGTGCCCGTTCTTGCATGAAATAATGCACGGAAGGGCATCCTCCACCAGTAAAGCTGGAACGTCGCGATATGACCTATACTGTGTCGATGTGACGTAAAACACAAAACAAACAAAAACAAATACATTTTAGCCTGTTCGCATATCGAATTCATACTTGCAGATGAATGAAGGTATCTGGACACAATCATGAACACTTTGAAGCTAAAATTTATTACTAGTTACGTTTCAGTGGAAAGGTTTAAGTTAGAAAAATATAACGATCATATATTTATCAGGTAAAAATGGAAATTCTTATTAAATTATAGAATTTTATAAACACATCTATTTCACCTTACTCTTATGTTACCGTAAACTATTATATGAAATTCATTTTAAACTGTATGTGACCGAAGGAAATGGTAGTGAAATGTCGAAATGGTAGTGAAATGTCGACAAACATATTTTGGTGGCTAAAACACAATCTTAAATCAATGATATGTAGTGAGATCAAGTGAGGTGTGTATCTCTGTCCATTAAAATCGCATATTATTTTATAAATTCATACTCACCTATACAAGAAATACCTTCTGTGTTAAGGTTGAAACCACTATTACAACTACACTTGAAGGACCCATCTGTGTTGTCACAAATTTGAGAGCATAATGCAATTGACTCCATGCATTCGTCTATATCTATATGAATAAAAAAGTTGTTTTCTTCATTTATTAATACATACCTATAACAGAACACTAACGCACGCACGCACATACACACAAGTTTAATAAACAGTATATATTTTCATTGGTATGAATGCATTCATCATTAACTTAATATAGATTATAAACAAGAAACAAAATACAAAGTTGCATAGAATAATAGTATGTAATAAGCACGTACATAATTTAAAAAGTTAAAGTTATTCGTAACAAAGTAAAAACATCATAAACTTAGATGTATATTGTTAGTTATAAAGATTTATGACTGCTTCTCTGGTCCTAAATAAACGAGTGCTTGCATAAATAGCCCGAGCCCGATCCGCTAGGCGAAAAAATATATTTTAAACCACCGTTTTTACAGGGCATATCATTGCAGGAATTTATGAGGATTTCATAATGCAGCAAACTTACTTTCTTTCAAAAAACGTAGAGATTTCTGCAAAAAAAATTATCATCCGTGTATTTAGTTTATATAGAATAGAGAAAATCAAAATCCCTAAAGAAAGTTCAACACAACATAATTGAAAATGTTGCAGGCTCTGTTTGATTGAGCCTGTTCATGGCCGGTACTGTAAAGTGCAAACTGCAGTCCACGCCCCTAGCATCGGCTTAAGCAGAATTCAACATTTAAACATGAAATGGTAAAATTTTGAATTTAGAACACCCGCGGCGATTATCATGGAACCTTCAACGTGACACTTCCGTGCCATTCCATGAAAAGCGGCGTATGGTCCCCAAAGTAATAGGAAGCATGTGCCCTAAACGATAAAACAATGGGCAGAACTAAATAAAATGGAATTTTGAAAGGGGATCAGAGGTTATGAAGCCTGCATGTCACAGATAAGACGTCAAAAGACAAAGTTAAAAAGCAGGCAACATATCCTAAGGGTGATTCAACAATTATTCAAGTAGAAACATTGGGAACCACCCAACTAGAAAATTGCCGAAAAAGTTAAAAACTAAAAATACCCACAAGAACATCGATAGTGTCGTGCTGAACGATCTTTAAGGATCGGAAATATAACATCTCTGATTGAAAGCAGGCAACATATCTAAGGGTCACGATTTACCAATGAGTAGCAAATATGCAGTATGATACACACTTATTACATAAGGACTTGGAAAACACTTCAGGTATCAAATTTGTTGTTGTTTTTTTTTTCATTCTTTAAATATTCATTGCGAAATCTAGTAACTTACCTTCATATATTTATAAACGTATCACTTACCTTCACACACTTCGCTATCTGTACTTGAAAACACAGCTTTGTATCCGATTTGATATTCACACCTGTGTGAACCTGGCTCATTTATACATGTTTGAGCACAGCCGCCGTTTCGAGTGTCGCACTCATTCACGTCTTGATAATATAAACATAAGCTTTCAAAAAAATGAGAATAAAGATCAACATCGCAAAGCAATGTTCACAGAAAGCAGCCCCCTACACAATAAGTTCAAACTAACACCTTGATGATTTCATGTATCTTAAGACGAAATCTTATTTTGGTCTAGCTTAGTACAGTGGATCAGTTCATTTGCTTCTTATTGCTATAATAGGAAACCAACAAGAAAATTCAGAACTTTCTTTTGACAGAGAAAACAAACAAATGTATTATCAGCCGGTGGTTCTACAACAGGAAAGCTAGGATATCACCCTAATACTGTGTTGGTGAATCACAAAATAGAAAAACGGCAGTGAAATAGACAAAATGACAAGCGGAAACGAAGAATTACATAGTAACCTCTTTTTCATTTGTGATGACTTTAATTTAACTTAATATTAAAGTTGCCATTTCACATAGTGATAATCTAAAGCTATAAACTGGAAAACAAGCAAAAAAAAATATAAAGAAGACGGAAACAACCTTTGCAGGAATACCCGGTAATGTCAGTGATATAGCCAGGGTCGCAGTAACATGTGTAAGACCCAGGGATGTTGTTGCAGTAACCATCACATTTGGCTGTTCCTTCAACACACTCGTCGACATCTAGTCATAAATTAAATAATATATAGTTGATGATTGATCATTATCATGAATGGAGTCCTATTCTAAAATGTACATCTTATACTATAAATATTTTTACTTTCAAGCTTAAAACAAATATCATCTTAGCGCGTATTACAGATCTATCTTATAGATTATAAAAACAGAAAGAAAACTATATCAACTGTTTTTAAACAGTTTTTGATATTTGATTTGTTTTCCATTTTTATCAAACAAAGCCGTTAGCTCTCAAATTTCCTAGATTATGTGTAAACGTAAGCTCTTTTAATGTATAAGTAATATACCTTCACACGACCGTCTGTCGACACCTAAAGTATATCCAGTATTACATGAGCATGTAAAGGAACCTTCAGTGTTTGTACATTTATGAGAACAAGCTGCTGTTCCGAGCATGCATTCATCCACATCTAAAACATTTCAAAACTAACAATCACAATGAATTATTAAAAAACTGGTTTGGTTACATATACGTGCTTAAAATTCAGTGTTTCATAATTTATCAATATTAAAAAACAACATTTTTTAAGAAACACAGTGCGTTCTGTATGACTTACCGTTACATGATCGTCCGTCAGTACCAAATGTGTATCCTGTCCTACAGCTACAAGAGAAGGATCCGACATTGTTGTTGCATTTGTGACTACATCCTCCATTGTTGACATTGCATTCGTTTATGTCTTATTATAAAATAACATAGTAATAACAGAAGCTATTTATTGATATATTGCTAAACATTTTTACTAAACACAGTTATAAATTAATGCCTTAGTACTAAATAAAATATTCGGAATATTAAAATGTCCAGCAATATAGGTCGACCATTTAGTACGAAAAATCACAGGGTATAAAGTCACTCTAAAGAACAATATTTTAATTTTCTTAGATGCCGTTAATTATGAAAATGAATACAAATAATCAAAATTATTGATACTATATTTGTAGACAAAACTACAAAAAAACAAGGACATGAAGAATGATATAAAACGTATTCCTCTTACATTTAAGTCATTCTTTCAGATTCAATGCACATATATATTCCATATGTTTAATTTAGATATTGCAATATTAAATGTAATTTGATCATACCCTATTTAGTTTTCTATTCATAAAAATGTTACAATTAAAGAAAAATCATTATATATAAAATACTACAATCTGTTATGTTGAAGCAAAATAGATGCATTAAATGTAGACATTGCTATTTAAGCAAACAAGAATTCTGTAAACATATTCTATTACGTTCATGTAAGAAGCATTTGGTAGATTCTGATATCGTATAAGTAGTCCATGGCCGAGTGATTAAGGCCGATGCTTTCAAACCACTTCGCCTTCCAGTTGGACTTGGATTATTTCATACGAGTAAGCTCTCCAAGTAACTAACATAGCGTTTGTGGTTCTACTCAGCTCATGCCTGAAACAAAACATGGGTGGGCGCTTGATGTCTTCCTGTACCAGAAAAGCTGAAATTTGAAGCTATGTCCTACGTAGCCACGACGAATTATGCATATACTACGTTAAATACCTTGACATGACTTGAGATCCGAGGTCAGTGTAAAGCCTGCTCTACATGTACAACGGTAAGAGCCATGAGTATTGACACAATTGTGTTGACAACCGTGACCGCTGCTGCTGCATTCGTTGATATCTTTAAAGAAAATGTAGATTATAACTATAAGAAAAAGTCATACGTCTACTTTAATTTCATTCTTTGTATCTGAAATCCATATTTAAATGGCTATGCTGCCGACTTGTTCTTATTGCTTGTATCGGTTTTGTTACGTCGGCATTTTAACTTGTGATGAAAATGGTTTCTCTACTGATCAGGAAAAGTAACCGCTAGCGGGAACTGGAATAATCCTCTGTTTTTAATTTTCTTTAATTGAACTTTTGAGATTGAAACATTAAAAACTGCTTCATCTCCTTTCATGGTAGGGGTACTAATGGGTGATGCAAGATAACTTTATAGACTCATTTATTGTAAAGATAATGAGTGATTACTGTAGAAATGTCGCTTACATTTATCACCTTTGAGATATTTTTAAAACTTTCCAATTAATTCACATGGAAAATAAAATGATGCTAGACACGGGTAATCTAGTCTGGATCTTATATTTAACTAAAGAGGCATTTCCTATACTAGGATACCAAGGAGATTAATGTGATTTTGTTGTAGTAAAATCAAAGTTCAACATTAGAATGATGGACTTTTTAACAATGACACATTTACAATGACATCTTTAATAAATTTCTACGATGCGGTTGTTCTTTTTGACGTATCGTTTTTCATTTTAATTTAGTGAATATTATACCATTTTGACTTGAGTGTCACCGACAGACGACATATTGATAGCCGATGTTAATGTGACCTTCTGTCGGTGAAAATCACATCATATCCAATGACTCCTTAGTCAATAATTGTTTTATTATGAATAGGCTAAGAATTAAAATGAAATCACATAAATACAACCTTATACTTGTACAACTTTTGCCGCGAGAAAAAAGACGCACGTGTCAGGCGTGCAAAGACTATGCGAAGGCTTCCATACAAAAGTAATTCAAGTTGATAGTAGCCTTAAAGTATAATAGTAAAGTGATAATATTTTAATCGAGAAATATGTAATGAATAACAAAACGCAACAATTATTTTGTTAATGCGCACGCTTAATTAACAGTCATTGAATACGAGTCTCGAACTATTTTTTTTAGACTCGGCCAGTGAATATGATACTTAACACTATGAATTTGATTTTATAAAAAAGTTCTGTTGACTACTGTTTAGACGAAAGAGAGTGCAGCTATATTTAGATCAAATTATAAAGCAAAATATATAAAATATATCGGGTATATAATACATCATTGTTTTGGTATAACGTCAACATTTAAAACAAGTTAAAAGTCATTGACATTCATTACCATTACACCTTGGCGAGGAGAAGCCACGTGGACATCTACACATGTCTGGAGATTGGCATGTACCACCGTTAGGACACGAATATGACCCAAAACACGAAGCTATACAAATGATAAAGTATAACTTTACAATAGTTTATACCTATGATGATAAACTCATAGAACAGTGATTCATGACATACTCGCCACTCACATTTTATTTTTCGGAAAGATACATTACTTTTGTGTCAGCTTTTAATTTGAACAAATAAGATTCGGCAGTTAGGATAGACTATCAACAGAGAAAATCTTAACACACATTGATTTTAGTTGTTTGTTTAACAAGCTGTACTAATTTGTGAACATGTATTCGTTTTACATGATTTTTACAATAAATTTCAGAGCAAATGATTTTAACAACTTACGGGTGCTACAGCTACTTCCGGAATAGCCCAAACAGCATTCATTTCTATAGCATGTTTGTGCACATTGCTTGTAAACGGTTCTGTATATAATTAAAATGAATTTTTGAAACATTAAAAGGTAATTTATAGTATGCTCTACAAAAACACAATAACATATGCAGTTATAAAATGTTGTTTTTATGTAAGCATCATAAAACATAAACTCTGTTGTATATTATCTGGAAGAATTTAATATAATTATAATTCAGATGCCAAATATAGTTGTTCAGTATAATATATGAGTACACTCATATTTATGCTTAATTAGCATAGGGCACAATAAAAAACACTTTCTTAGATTGATAACGTTTTACTGAAGGAAATTAGGTTTGGCAGTATTTTGTCCATGGCTGAATAAGAACATTAAATATTCCAGCAATTACAAATACATGTAGTATGATATTGACAATTACAAAAGTCATGTACATATTATAATATTATATGAATAAAGCCCAAATTATGGAGGCCATATTGCTGATTTTACTCCGGACAGTCGGAAGTGACATAAATTGTTCCGGATATCGGAAGCTTGATATGTTTATTCAGATATAATCTATTACAATTATATTTTGAAAAAGAGACAATGTGTTGACAAATGAAATTTTAAAATTCAGAAGACGCCTGACTTGAAAAGGGCGATTACTAGCATAAATATGAACATAATGACATGCCAGGGTTGTCTCCCTTCTAGTCAACTGCAGAGTACGTATAATGAATGCTTATAATTATGAAAGAAATTTCTGCAACCACTGATGTAAGATTTTCCCCGCCCGCACTTCTATCAGAACAGATATCACAAGAGGAAACATGACAATTTACCAAGTGATGGTCAAACGCGATTACTCACCTGCGCATCTTGCCTTACTAATATTTAACATAAGCAAACATTATTGAATGCATTAAAACGAAGCATATGAGAATAAAACGAATGGTTATGATATTTACCGAGATTTGGCACATCTGCTCAACCACAAAAATCCGCATCCTGTGTAATAAGTCTGCGAAGTTAAACATGATCCTTGACAGGAGTACGTTGTCCTGCAGTAGCCGGCATAGATGCCCCTTAACAAGGAAACACAATGGTGAAATAATAATGCCAATAAGAACCATATAATTATCACGTTAATTATCTGACTAGCTAGTTAGTGACCATGTAAACACTATAAATAATAGATATCTATCAGACTAACTAAATATTTCTTTTCTGTTAGATAAATAACAAATACGCATCTAACTTCAAAAAATCTAAAAAGTGCCAACAAAACTCCCAACACTTACCAGTTAAATAAGAGATAAATGTCTGGTCATCTATATAATTTTGTATGTTTATTAACCTTACGTAATTATCTGTATAACTAGCTAAATTTTCAGTTAATAGATAATGCGAAATGTTTCGGACATATCAATTGCGTTTCTTCTATTTAATCTGTTAACTGAAAATTTAACTAGTTGCGCAACATGACCTTAAAATGAAGTGTTTTGTAAAAAAATCTAGAAACAAAGTGAAGCATTAATCACACCAAAATTACATGGAAATTGTAGACTCAATTTGATTGAGTTTGTACATGAGAGATAACGATTAAGTGTAACATCCCTCATGCCCCCTAGCACCGCTTGAGCGGTACTAAATTCGTAATACACGATTTGAGCTCAAGCGAACGAACAATTGCACTTATTATCGATTTTCAATTTAATTCTGGACCTATTTCTTTTCCATGTTTTCTCATTATCTTTTTCACATTTCACCCGTTTTAAGTTCCCCGGGTGTTCTATGAGAGATTTTCAAATAATCTAAGGAAACAAATTCTTAAGATACTTTCATTCTAATCCTGTTCTTTTAAAGAATACTTGAAATGATTTGTATACTTTGTAAAATGTAGCATGTATATATGTATATTCTGAGAAAAAAATATGTTTATACTAATTAACATATTTTGAGTTTTTTTTATTTTGTGTTAATTGTTATTTAAAAAGAAAGACTACTCTATCGACCTTGTTTTAGTTTAGTATTAATATTTGCATAAGACATAGTGTGTCGCTTGTAGCAGTCAGTCATGTCATATCCCTCTAAAAGTTAGGGCTATTCTTTGTGTAATGAGATTTGTTGGTCATTTTGATATGAAGTAGACCTATGTCTACAGAAACCTTTTCGATTTGTATTTACTGTTCGTTTTTTACGTACATGCATGCGCGTGAAATTATATTTTATGCCAATGCATATTTCGTTTCATTGCTTAAATATATATAAATTTTTGCTTCATTGCTCAGCAATACTGCAGATGTGGATAACCCATTTCATTTCATTATATTTACCTAAACAGACCAACGGACGTGTCTAGCTTTGAACAATAACGCCCGTCTATAAAACCAAACAAATATACCTTTGACAGACACAATAAAAGACTTTTAAATTCATTGTCGATATTTATAGAATAATAACACCTTTATTGTTTAAAAATATATAATCTTTAGAAACGTAAGCTTGAATGGATTTCAAAGGATTTGTAAAGTGATATTTAAAGTTATAATTAGTTCTTTACAGTATACACTTTTTTCTCCTTTGTACTTGAGACACATTGAGATAAAAATGAAATGGAAATGGATAATCATTATTGTGCATATCCCAATTATTCATTTTTTTTTGAAAAAGATTAAAATGAAAATTTAAAGAGTGACCAAATTACAAAATTGAAAATTTCAGAAGAGACTTTCATATTAGCTTTTGCTTTCTGTTTAATCCGGATAAATATGTTATAAGTTATGTATAAATTGAAATTGGTTTGTACACATTTATGTGAATTGAAATTCTTGTAGGTTCGAATTGTATAACCTATATATATGGACGGCATGAAACACATGTTTAAGCACATCATTTAAATACGAACCTGGTGTGAAAAAGTATGTTTATTTTACAAAAAAGAAGTTCCTATGTCTAAGATTACAGTCCTAAAGTTATATTTACACAAGGATCACATACACTTGCGCGCACATACGCACACGCGGCCACACCCATAAAGTAAAAAGGTAAATCTGTGCAAAACAGGGTTAAGCAAAGCCGATTACTGATGACAAAACATACCATGACTTTTAGTTGTGTACAAAAAGAGATTTTTCCCGATATGCAGCGTCTGTACCTCCAAAAAATCGTTATATCGACCGACGTCCGGCCACGTGACAATCGGACGGCAGCAGATGAAAATTTTGCTCAACGGGCGGGCGCCGTCGAGTTTTAAGTACAACTTAAAAGCTAACCGCGTCCGGACGATATTTTATTCGTGGTCAGTGTGTTGTAAAGAAAATATCGACGTATCGCCGAGCGATATATTTTCGATCGGACGTTTTTTTTTCATTCAAAAATACCGTCCAAATTTAAAGGCAGCGGTGGAAAATTGCCAGGGCTGCGCCCGGCGCCCAAATAGACATAAGTTGGCGAACGATTACCGCCCGCACTAGGATGAATCATGCATATTTTTTTTCGTCCGGCGATCCTGCGGCTTGAGATTGTTGTAAGTTCGGCTTGAGTTTGTTTTAGTTGCCTAAAATGAATTTGTGATTTCCTTTTGAATCAACATGTACTTTATGGTCGAGCAATAACGTCTACGCTGATTATAATTAAGGCAAAGGCAAACTACAATTGTTGCATTATTTGCATGTATCAGATTTAAAATCACCTTTAGTTTGCGAAATCGTCAAAGCGCTGATGTTATAAAAATCGTTAAATTGGGCAGCGGCCATTTTATTTGTGACCTAGGCATGAATTCAAAGGAAAAAAACAGATGTATACTAGGTCGAACTAACACCTTGGTTTCTTTATTAGCTTACTTGAGCACATTACAGTTCTAAGTGGCCTTGTCTCGGATGCAAAGATTTTCATTTATGTACATAAAATCTTACAGAAAAAATATCCTCCGAAGCTTCAAAGAGAAGAGCTAGATATTTTGTATGAAACATTTTGGACGTCTTGAAAGAAGTTCAAATTATGTCCTTCAGGCCCCTTATGCCCATCAGCCCTGCCCAATTAAACCCTAGTATTCGTTGTTTATAGTGAACAAAAACTATAAAAATGTTTCCTAAAGACTTTAATGTCTGACACAAAACATTGTCTGGTAGACATGTATCAAGATTGTCTAAATGAAATCCTTGCTCAAAATTGGCTCTGTCCCATGGGCACAGTTTATCGTTTAAAATGTAAAATTATCTTTGATATGAACTGACATATATTTTAACCAAGTGATTTACTTTCTTGTCCCGTGATGTCCAGCTATGAACTTTTGACAATGTGCACAATTTTAGATGTATATTTTACCTTTGCTACCAGCTCTCCTAAACTTTCACTAAGTGATCTACTGTATTGTCTTTTTTAAAGCATGTGAACCATAAGGTAAAAACGAACTTTGGTTTCAGCTTTAATTTTAGTTTTTACTTAAATTATGACCCTTTCTTGCTTTTGACGTGCAATTTTAACATTTTACAATGTAAACGGTTTCAGTTGTTATATGAAAATCTGGAAACAAAGCGATCCCTGATATCAGATGACCTGAATTTTGATCTAGTGACCCATTTTCTCGTTTTTGATTTACATCCATGTACTTTGAAAATTGTAATGAATTTTGCATGAAATTGTTTTTGGAACAACATCATTCAATTTCTTGACATAAACACACAAAAAACTAGCTTTACACAAAGGACAGTTTGTCCGCAGGTAAGCGCTTTTGAGTCAATGGATGCATTTCTTAAGGTCATATCTAAAGTCAGTAGAACAGGTGGCAGTTTCAGAAGTTAATAAATATTGATTTTAGAGGCCAGTGCAGATTTCTCGGCCGAAATAAAACCGCTTTTACTTGCGTATTTTGGAGTTGTGTATACATGATAAAATGATAGCAGTGATTGCATAAAAAAGGACAGTTGTTATTTGTGCAAAGTCTCAGTTGCTGAAGGACTATATTAGACTTGGAAAGATAAAATTGATACATCTTCAAAGTAAAACTCCTTTCCTGGTTTACTGTTTTTTGTACATGTACTCTTTTTACAATTACAAGATTAACCACTCTGCCACAGACACCCCTGTTTATTAATGATGCCATGCAATTTATTAATACTATCATTTAGCAAGGATCTGATCGAAGACGAGACGCAATCATGAACAAAACATAACCTGAATCGTAATCAACATTTTCGTTTAATTTATTTTTACCCTCATGTATATAAATTTTGATGTAAAGAATGTAATTTTAGAGGATGGCGTAACAAAATACTTCTATTGACATAGCATCCAATGGTTAGATCTAAAAAGCACCGCAAGCTACCTTTCGAAATGAAACTGTCATGTTTCTGTATGAATACGTTACATTGACGTATTAATAAACACATTTATATATGCTTCGTTGATAACCAAATTTTAGGAAATTATAAGAAACACATCAATAATTACATAATTTCATATATAAACACTCTACGTCATCTATTGGAAGCATCAGAAAAGTTGTTTTTTATGGTTCCTTTGGTGTTTCAATGCACATGAGTTTCAGGGGTCGTAAGCATTATTAGTAGACAAACATATAAAATGTCATTGATAACTCTGAAAATTGTTAACTGAATAAGTTCACCGTAAGGAACGTGTTACAGTATCGCGTTTTTCGGTTACAGTATAGAATTTTCAAGATGGAGGGTTATTTATGGGAAGAGAGGTAGGTGATTTTTATTCAGGTCCATACTACTATTAGTTTAGTTTCTAAAAGATGTTTTTGTGCTTTGCTTATAAGGAACAGAATCTGGTATCTAGTCATATATTTCTTCAGACTCTGCACCGCAGATTTATCTCTATATTGTCTCATAAATGTGCAGAGTTGACGGTTTAAAAATTTGAATCGAGAGACCAACGCATTTTTCTCCCATTCCGACATTATTTAAGCATGCCTAGATAAAGTAAATCTACAAAACGTTAGTCCTTTGTGTTAAGAAAACGTTTATAAAAGTAAATAATTAGTTGAACCTATTTTCCTGTTGGTAAAATACGTTTGAAAAAATAAACAATGTTACAGTATAGAGCGATGTTAATTTTG